TGATTTTAAACTAGAAGGGTATGCTTGCTACCATTTCAACACTTAAGCCTGGATGACAGAAATCCAGATATCCGGACGTTTTACGCAAAAACGAATGTCTCACTGTATACATAATCTGGAAAAAGGCCACAAAAGGATTGATACAACTGCTTCAAGAACCTCAAGGAGACAGGTAAGCCAGTTGTCTCAGGTGCCACATTTCTTCTGTGTGCTGAGTTCATATGACGGCGTGAATGCGTGTGTTTGTGTATGTGCGGCTGCTTGTACTAGCCCAGACTTAAGCTGGTTGTATAGTGCTAGCCCACTGAGATACCATGCCGCAGTGAAGCATGAATACCCAACTCAGACACATTATACTGACTCCAAGCCGACCAGTCCTTGTTGTACCCATTAATGCCAAGCGCCAGGCAGGGACCAACAATTACCATATTTTAACGTCTTTTGGTATGACGCGGTCGGGGATCGAACCCGCGACCTTCCGCTCTCCGGGCGGACGCTCTAACCACTACACCACGGAGGAGGTCGTTGTGATGTCCGAACCTATGTGGGTTTGAATCCAGGTTTACTCTGATGTTACAGGATCTGTCAGCACCATATCCATACCTGTAGCTTGGTGTTGCTGGCATATTGTTCTTCATGCAACACAAACACAGGCAATACATATATTCTGTGGGAATTCTGGGTTTGAAGCTGAGACTCAAATACAGATGCCATGTTGGAAACAAGCACAGGCATGTTGCAGAGAAACAAAATCAGCGTGGCGCTTGGAAACAAGCACAGGTACGGAGGGGGGAAATATGATATGATGTCACATTGGGCTGCTTAAAAAACTAGACATCGCCTCTGCAAAATGAAAACTGAAACATGATTTGCAAGTATGATTTATATGACGGAAATAAATCATGATGACAAACATCCCATCACAGACATTAAAACATGTATCAGAATCATGCTGAGGCTGTAACAAAACTTCATAAAATCATCGTAAAAATCATATTTACTAAATATTAAGATACATTTACACAATAAATTCTCAATATCACAGATACCTTTCCATATGTGGACATACATAATTTTAGATATATAATTTTTGAGGGAATGTCACTTGTCTGCATTACATTTCCTTTTAAAAGCGACCCGGGACGGAAGAGAAACTGGAGGGTTTCAAAAATGATCATTTCACACAGGAGGTTGTGACAATGCTTCCTCAAAATCAATGCTAAAATTGTTTTTTTCTGGCAAAACAAAAACAAAATACCTGATGTTTGTATGAATGAGGAATATGTATATAAGGTCACGTCTGCTGGTCATTACAAGGGTAAACGATGATATGCAAACCTAAAACCTCTTGCAATACCAAAGACAACAGAGATGATACAAAAACAGATGTCACTTCTGTATATCATTTGAAGAATAGCTGGTCACCATGAGGTTACTTTCTATGATGATTCACATTTTGAATTCTGGTGACCTTGACATTTTAGAAAACAAAACAAAAACCTGTCCAACTGGAGGCAATTCCCAGGAAGCAAAATATCATAACATCTCAAGTTGAAAGGATTATAAGAAGTTGGAATGTTTAACGTACATATACAGAGTGACCTTCACCTTCAAACTTAGCCAAATATAAACCAGCCAAAAATTAACAGAAATCTTTGACATGTCAAACAATAAATCATACAAATCCAGGGAATGTGTGGTTGTCAGATAACTACTAAGACCTATCAAACAACTTTAATCATGTTAAGAACTAAAACGTTATTGAATAGTAAAGAAGGAACTTGTTCGGCAACCATTTTGAAAATGAAGAAGTTACTTTGGCTCTGAGAGGACATGAAGAACATACAATATGAAAACAATATATATACTGCAGTAGATCTCAGTACTGGACGGAGGATGGAAAAAGACCCAAGCTATTAAGCTCATGTTTACAATGTCAAGGTTAGCAGCAAATGGGCAAGCCTGACATTTTCAATATGGCTTCAAGGGCCTTGAGGTGTTGAGATAGCAAAAGTTTACAATGGACGGATGTCTGCTCCAATAAAGTCGTCGATAAACAATGCCCTATCCCTTTATATTACAAATGACCACTTTTAAAAAAATAAAGAAGTAAAACTAAAGTTCAATAAGTCTTTTTCCTCTGAAAGTGACAATAAGTCTGAATTCATGTTCCACATCATTGAGGTACACACTCCAGATACTGACAGTACACTCAAAACATGTAAACTTAACACATGGAATGTATGCTTTCCCTTGCAAAACAGACCAGTGAAGATCCAGGTTAGAATTGGTCTTCAGTAACCCATACTTGTAAAAAGATGACCAACAGGATCGGGTGGTCAGGCTCGCTGACTTGGTTGATACAACTCATCTTATCCCAGTTGTGTAGATTGATGCTCATGCTGTTGATCACAGGATTGTCAGGTCCAGACTCCATTATTTACAAATCGCCGCCATATACCGGTAGCTGGAATATTGCTGAGTGCGGCGTTAAACAACACACCAACCAATCTTGTAAAACAAATTAAGAATACTACCATTACATGAAGTAAAATGAAATTATATGATATAATATCAGATGATCATGATGTGTCTGTGATGGTCGGTTTCATCTTTGGTTGCTAAGTAACATAACAGTAAACAAGGCAAAAGCCAACTGCACCAATTTTCAAAGTTATAAGGCTACATTTTAGAGATGATATTCATTATGTGGATTCGGTATGTGTACATTCGCATGCATTTCTTATTATACAGTCAGGAATATGTTCCATTTTCCTTTAACCAAAATGACAAACTAGACATAATTTCCTGGTGAAGAACATGAAAATATGCAAGATCGTGATTCATGTATAGTCTGTTTGGCTCAAAAGCGGACCGATGAATTGCAGTCTAACTCGAAAACTGATAAACATATAAACTTTCTTATTTTTAGGACATAAATTCTGCAAAAATATCACAGAGTTGGTCTGGTGTTTTGATTATGATCAGCGTTTCATGAGTATTATATGTTTATCAGTTTTCGAGTTAGATTGCAATTCATCGGTCTGCTTTTGAGCCAAACGGACTATATATCATTAGATTTTCATCCCTACCCACATCACATCCTGTATCCCTTAGGTAACTACCTAACACTCATGCTTCATGTAAACCATCCACAATTAATATACACAGATGCCAGAAAATTGACATAAGTATTATTAAGTCTATATATACTACTGCACCTGCCTCTCTTTTTGTGGAAATATTGGAAGCAGTCTGATCAATAAATTATCCATGGAATGTCTTTTCAAACAAAGGAGAGTGAATATTGTTTAATGCTGCATCCTCAAATTTGCAGCTGATCACAGCGAAGTTAAATTTACAAACAATCCACTCGGTCATCTTGAGTTAACGTTCAGGTTATTGAATACAAGGACATAATATTTAACTTTCAGTAACAATATTGACTGTTTTCACCCTTGCCACATTGCTTCGAAAGAGATGCTTGGATTGGAAACCTGGGTCCTTATTCTCGAAAAGTTTGTAGCCCTAAGAATTCTTAACTCTGATCATAGCCAATGTGTAAAGAATGGGCTTAAGAAGTTTGTAGGGCTGTGAACGTTTCAAGAATAGCTAGCCTGGATATCTCCTTGCAAACTTGGCAGTATCACACATACCTGACAAACAGTGACTAGTTTAGTCGTCCGGACACAGTAATGGCAAAATTCACTGTAAGCATGCCAGATCTCACATTGTTTTCACTGTCAAAATATTTTGCTGTAGTCATATGTCTTATTGAAAAAATGAAGAAGTGAGTTAGGTTCTATGACGAGACATTGATTAAAGGAAGTCAGTGAGTTTGACCACCCTGTCCCATTATGTTGCACCTCAAGACAAGCATAGGATATATTATATAATATACCAGCCTTCATAAACAATATTTACATATTTTCTACTTGCAAAACCGGTTCTGTATACATATATTTTCGGATAGAAAAGGGTATAAAACTGAATAAATAAATAATTTCAATCTTTTTGATAGGTCACATTTTATCTGCAGGACATTCAGTTTTAGACCACACATTACTTCAAGCAACCTTTCATATCCTGTATCTTGCAAAATTTACTTTATAATATCCCACAATATTTGTGTATTTATGATTGTCTATTAAATATATGAACAGTTTGAAGGTAGATGGCTTCAGGATTCCTGGAAATTTAAACACAGACATATTCTGATATCACTCTGAACTGAAGTGTAACAAGATATGTCAACAGACCAAGATGGATGGCATCATTAATCCAATGACATAATTCTTCAGTGATTGATATTTACTTGTATTTCTTATTGTCTCATTGTGCTGACATAAATAATGTATGTTGTGTATCTTGGATTGAAAGTTGATTCCATTTTATAAATTATTAATGTAAATCAATCATTATAATGTGCATACAGTTGAGGAAGATGTATTATAACCACAATTTGATTTGATATGAGCAGGGATGGCAACAGGAAAATCTATTTTCAGCTGGAAACGTAATATTGTGTCATCGAGTTGAGGGTTTCTCAATGGATTTAGATGATGCACAATTGAACAATTTGAAATAAAATCAGCGGAAATCCGCAGATCAGCGGAAAATTGCCATCGCTGTATAAGACGTTCACGGATGTTCATGGAATCTTCAATGTCATATTTACATTTTTCTTCTTTTAATTTATATGATTTTAAGTATTGCACATAAAATTTGTGATGCAGTATTATTCAGTTACGTAAGAAACATCTGAAGGCAAAGATGATCAGTTCATGCAAATCACTCTGCATGGAGCTATGAACTACAGGCCTCGGCTTCAAGCCAAGATGACCCATGAAGATCCAGGTTAGAATTGGTCTCCAGTAACCCATGCTTGTCGTAAGAGGCAACTAATGGGATCGGGTGGTCAGGCATTGACTCAGTTGACACATGTCATCATATCCCTATTGCGTAGATCAATGTTCATTTGTTGATCACTGGACTGTCTGGTCCAGACTCAATCATTTACAGAATAATGCCGAGGGCAGCGTAAAACTAACCTCACTCACTCACTCACTCACTCAAGCAAAGATGGTGCAAGTGAGACAAAGGTCAATACCCCCAAAAGATTTCTACTCAGGTTACACATTTACAACTAAGAATTACTCAACAAAATGTTCGCATGATGTGTTTCTGTTTGTAAGACATTACTAAACTTCATTTGTTTCATTTTAACATCCTAAGATTCTGTGCATAGATATATAATTGACAACACCAAATGGAATAATTTCACTTGAGGGACAAGGTGAGTTATTCTATCTCAAATATCACAGAACAGTTGCACATATTGTACAGTGGTCAACGTTGCCTTCACAAACATATTACCCTGAATATATATACTCATCAACAAAAGAAACTGTTTAAACAATTTTCTTTTGTAATTTTCATGGAGTGTTTTTGGTTGTAAACACCATAGGTATTGCTCGTATGTAGTGATTTAATACATCAACTGCAATGGGGAGGGAGGAAGCTTGTGCCGTAGAAGATTATCATCAAATAGTTTGTATGATTTAATGCTGCTTTTAGCAATATTCCAGCAATATCACTAGGGACACCAGAAATTGACTTCACACATTGTAACCATATGGGACATCGAACCCATGTGTTTGATGTCATAAACGAAATGCTTTAACCACTTGGCTGTCACACCATCCCATGAAAACGTGAAAAGCTGGTTGATAAATGATCAAGAATCTTCGGCAAACTGGCACATGATGGTTCACACTTTGAAGGAGTACTCCCACAGGTTAAACAATTGATTTAGCCATTACAAATCTTCATGAGCTTGCATGCTTCTCAATAAAAGAGTATGATGGAATCAGTGTGCGAAATAGCCACTGGCCCGCTAGCCCGTGGCTAGTAAAATTCAAGTCGGGCCAGTAAACCTCGACGGTCACTGGCCTGACTGGCTAGTGAATTTCCATGGGTCATTTTGTAAATATATTACTCTTTTCAACTTGTCAAGTTATAGTAAACTTATAAATAATGCAATATTGTGGCCTGATAAAAATGTTCATCATATTTGCAGCTTAATGATGAAACCCGTGTCATGCCGTCAATATCTTCGTCTCATCTATATTTGTAATCTTTAACTTAGGTTATACATTCACATTTCGGGCTAGTGAATTATTTTGTTGGCTAGTAACTTACAGGTACAGCTAGCCCGACTGGCTAGCAGACTTAGGAAACTATTCCACACACTGGATGGAATTGGAACGAGCATGTGTGGGATGAGATTGGACATTTTCTTTGACATTTAACCCATGCATCAGATACCCAGCAAGAGTCGCGGAATTCACTTGTGTTGATCTGCAACACCATCTCACAGGCCTTTAAGCGGTTGTTCCCATGTGATGCAAGTACCATGTATGCATTCAAGATCACGGTGGCCACATCTGGTACTGACCTTTTAAAATGACATGGTCGCACTGATATTTCATGGTTCTTCATCTTATTGAGTCCTCAGTGAGAATTGGATGGCTGTGCTGTTTGAAAGTAACATTTTTCAGTTATTTTTTTATCATCATGAAACATGTCAGTTTCTTTTGTTGCTGAGTATACAATATAATCAGTAAATACTTGTCACCATGAAATATTTTTCAAATGTACAATATCATCTTGGCTACAATATCACACAGAGTTTGCTCCCTTGCTCACATCCTTCACCAGAGGGCACTGTGACTTTAGTGATGGAGCTGATATTGTGAGCAGGGATGACGGACGGAGGGGGAGGGGGGTCAATCACCGGTCGGGGAGCAGGCGATCTCAGGAACTCGGTTTTGTTGAATGTTGATTTGCTGCTGAAATTCAAGAAATGAAATTTTAACTTTTAAAGTATGAGATGAGATCATAGAACAATGAACAAATTATCAGGTTGTTGTTCTGACTCAGGAAATGCTTCGCCTACATGCACAAATTAGGATGAATCAGGGGAGTAAATATTATTTTATGCCACAACAATATTCAAGCTTTGTCATGGTGACATGTAAATAACCAAATCTAGAGCTGACTGCTTGAGTAAAGAAAAGATGTTGGTACAATTTGCTCACAAGTAAAATAGAAGAATAATTTTTGACAAAAACTAGGATCTCAACCTCATGTCTATTGCTATCAATTATCAATATGCAATAAAAAATAAAACTGAGAGTTATAAGTTCCTTGAAGAATTTATCTCAAGTCTTAATATAATTGAAAAGACGCTTAGGTGAGATTCTCTGTATATCATCCAAACTGGCTTCTACAGAGACATTGGCAAGATGAGATAAGACAATATCTCCTTGAAAAGGACCGCCTCCGTGGTGTAGTGGTTAGAGCGTCCGCCCGGAGAGAGGAAGGTCACGGGTTCGATCCCCGACCGCGTCATACCAAAAGACGTTAAAATATGGTACTTGTTGGTCCCTGCCTGGCGCTCGGCATTAATGGGTACAACAAGGACTGGTTGGCTCGGAGTCAGTATAATGTGTCTGAGTTGGGTATTCATGCTTCACTGCGGCATGGTATCTCAGTGAGCTAGCACTATAAAACCAGCTTCAGTCTGGGCTAGTACAAGTAGCCACACATACACATACACACACATGCACGTCCTCCATATGAGCGAAATATTCTCAAGCACGACGTTAAACCCAATTTCACCTCACCTCACCTTGAAAAGACCTCTAAAGTAATTGCATCACAATGCTTTGCAGCCCTTTGTGGCATCATCAAAGAAGACATCTATCAGAAACAGTGTATACTGACCTCTCTGTCCCCGGCCTCTGTACGTTGTTCGCTAGGATCAGTCTCTCACTGAAGGCATCATGTCGGATCCAGGTCTCCTTGTTACCCTCGTACACTGTGTTGTTCTCCACCACGCCCTGCGTCACACCCACCACCTTCATGCAGGGACCGTGGGGGCACTGCAGTCGGTTCTCTACAACCTGCATGGACAAAACTAGTTTGTAGGTGAAGAGCGATCCTGCTTGCATCAACAATCGAGAGCCATTTTGTGAAATCGGTGAGTATGGAGATAAAAAAGTACCATCGGTAAATAAAAACCTAGAAGTCAACTTTGTTTCAAAATATATTATTTAAAGTGTCCATATTTCATCTATATATATATGACAATGTAAGAAAAATAGTCCACTAACAATAAACACTGACATTTCTGCAAGAGAGTTCTGAGATTTTTCACAAGTCATCGGCCGTAAACCCATCAAATTCCGTGTCACTGTCCTCCTCATACTGTAAAGTCGATCCACATTATTCAAAAGAATTCACTGTCATATATATTGTGTCTACTCACGGATCGGAAAGCGAAGTGTAGTTGAGAGAAAATGCATAATATATTTTTGCTTCTCTAAATATCATATTTATTGTAGCAACAAACTGGCTTTGCTTATTTTACCCCATTCAACAATCACAAACTGATTACGCCTACGTTCCATGTCCGTGCTTACCACGTTCATGATTGATATGAGGCAGGCAATCAGCAATTTACCAGCTCTATGTATGGTGCGATATAAACACTGCATGGACACAACTAGTTGTAGGAGAAGACTATGATCTCAGGCAGGCAATCAGCAATTTACCAGATCTATGTATGGTGCGATATAAACACTGCATGGACAAAACTAGTTGTAGGAGAAGACTATGATCTCAGGCAGGCAATCAGCAATTTACCAGCTCTATGTATGGTGCGATATAAACACTGCATGGACACAACTCTGTAGGAGAAGACTATGATCTGAGGCAGGCAATCAGCAATTTACCAGCTCTATGTATGGTCGCGATATAAACACTGCATGGACAAAACTAGTTGTAGGAGAAGACTATGATCTCAGGCAGGCAATCAGCAATTTACCAGCTCTATGTATGGTGCGATATAAACACTGCATGGACACAACTAGTTGTAGGAGAAGACTATGATCTCAGGCAATCAGCAATTTACCAGCTCTATGTATGGTGCGATATAAACACTGCATGGACACAACTAGTTGTAGGAGAAGACTATGATCTGAGGCACTCAGCAATTTACCAGATCTATGTATGGTGCGATATAAACACTGCATGGACACAACTAGTTGTAGGAGAAGACTATGATCTCAGGCAGGCAATCAGCAATTTACCAGATCTATGTATGGTGCGATATAAACACTGCATGGACACAACTAGTTGTAGGAGAAGACTATGATCTGAGGCACTCAGCAATTTACCAGATCTATGTATGGTGCGATATAAACACTGCATGGACACAACTAGTTGTAGGAGAAGACTATGATCAGATGTAGTAAATATTATTCAATGTTTCAATCTGCAATTATACAGCTGCAGTAAATTATGTTTTAATGAACAAATTAATGGATTTACCAGATTATGATTTTGGTCCCAGTCATTTGCCATATATTTTAGTCAAAATGCGTAAAATGAACTACGGATATAACAAACTATAATTAGTGGTCCCTTTAAGATCGCAATGTATGGTGTCTTGTAAACAAACAGCACTGACACATTTAGTTGCCGTGACATCAGTATCTGTCTTGTGGAACACTTGAAACAGAACATACTTATAAACAACTGACATATCATGAACCGTTTTGGGTCACAGCCACTTGCTGCATATTATATCCATAATTTGTATGATGAACTAATGTATAAGATGAACTAGTGAGTTACAGTGACAGAAATTAGCAATGGGGACACCACAAAACAGAAGTTGGTTACCCAACATCAAACCACTAGGCTCAAACTAGTGGTCCAACAGAGTTGGTTAACCAACATCAAACCATCAAACAATCAATCGCTACTGTGACCAATGCATTCCCATCCAAGCTGATGGCGCCGTTGAGGTTTCCAACTACATCATTCTGAGAGATATGACTACAACAACGACACACAATCCCGTGGTCACGGTTGTCATATACGCCGTTGCCATGGATATGGATCTGTGAACAAACAACAACAACAATATCCAGTAAGATATACCTTCAAGTTTCATACATGATTATGGCCTATAGAAATGTTTTGTCTCCATAATATTGGCTAAAATGCATTTTCTTACCTTCAAGAGAAAAAGCAGATAGAGAGCCTGTGACCCATCATGAATTTTTAACCATATATTCTCCAAACAAAAATTGCTTGGGTTAAAGACTTGCTCATGTGCAAACATCGGTAACATTTCCTGAAATTTTCTTACTTTAGGATATGCATTAACTTCATGATCTTTAAATTTGGTGAAAGTCCAAACTATGCCAGTGTTGAAGAGAACAAGCACTATTTCCCATATATATTTCCAAACCAAATATTTGATTGCATCATTTTAGGAAATATTATCTTAAATTTGGAGAAAGTCCTAAACTTGTGACCCACATGAATTTTTAACTCCAAACAAAGAAGAGGACAAACACTAGACCTCCCTCAGCATGTTCATATATAACACATTTGATGACACCCTACATACTGGTTTCAAAAGTAAAACAAAACTTTTAAAAGCATCATTTTGGACTAAAGAAAGTTAATGTCAGGTTCCCTCAGCAATTATTACACTTCTATACTGGTTTCGAAACAAAACAAGATGGTGATGTCAGGTTCGAATTATTAGTTGTATAGCGGGAGTGAGTGAGTTGCCACACTCAGCAATATTCCAGTTATATGGCGGCGGTCTGTAAATAATCGAAGTCTGGACCAGACAATCCAGTGATCAACAGCATGAGCATCGATCTGCGCAATTGGGAACCAATGACATGTGTCAACCAAGTCAGCGAGCCTGACCACCCGATCCCGTTAGTCGCCTCTTATGACAATCATGGGTTACTGAAGGGCAATATTCTCACCCGGACCTTCACGGGTCCACTTCTATAGTGATGTGCATGCATGTGGGTGTATGGTGTGGGGATGCCTGTACTAGTGGGGACTAACACTGGTTTTAATATGCAAGTGCTCGGAGACACTACGCCACAGTTTAACATTGACACCAAATTCAGACACAAATACAATAGGGTCACTCCAATAGGACTGGGACAGGTGGGTAATGAGTTGGACCAGGGTACCTGTCTAAATACCCGAACCCGTTATGATCATGTGACTAATAGATCAAACAATGTAATATGTTATTCTTTCATGATTAAAAGGTTGCATTGTCTTTGAAGATTTAGACATAATATTCTTTTGCATATAATACATAGTTAAGATATTGAAAAACTCGAAATTTTAGCCTCTGAGCTGAGTTATATATTGCCATTTCTTACAAATTTGATGTCAGGAATTAACATAACGGGTATCCAAGTAGGGTAGGGTAATTGGGGGTTGGGCACCCAGGTAGAAAGTTTGGATCCGACCCAGCCCTAGAGTCAACCAGGTAGCAAGCTGCAACTTTTAACTTCTATTGGTATGATGTGGCGAGGGACCAAACCAACAACTTTCTGCTCTCCAGGCAGACAATAGGTTAAATATGGACAGATATGTTACAAGTCGTACCGACTGGTTCTCGCTGCTGGGAGAAGCGCTGACGATGCCTGTCCCACAATTGTTGGTGATGCTGTTGCTCTTCAGGACCACAGCAGAATCTTGGTTAACTGTGATGCCGTCAGAGAGGTTGGCGTATACAGCGTTGAAGTGGACGTGGACGGCATCCTCCATCTGTATCACTATCCCCTTACCTGGACAATCACCAGGTGTGTTAGAACAGGTAATTACAGGTTGGATACAACACACTCTGCACATACATGCTTAAAAGGTAAAGATTTCTAACAATGAAAATAAAGGCACGGTGGGGTCGTCTAATGATTACAGTGTCCGCTCGTCACGCTGAAGACCCGGGTTTGATTCCCTACATGGGAACAATGTGTGAAGCAGATTTCTGGTGTCCCCTGTCGTGTTATTGCTGGAATATTCCTAAAAGCAACATAAAACCATACCCACTCACTCTGCATATTGATTATTATGTTGTTTACTGTCACACTCAACAATATTCCAGATATATGATGACAGTATGTTAACACAAACAACTGAGTCTAAACAAGACAAGCTAGAGATCGATATGATGAGCAATTACCATATTGCCAGAGTATGTTCACACACTCTCAACCACCAATGCTAGCCTCTTATAAACTACATATGTTGCTAGTGAAGCACATGACACATGTGGTCTCACCTTAGGCAAGTGAGCTTGTTCAAAATTGCCTCTGTTCACCAAGCAGAAAATGGGTACCCGGTTGGAAAAAGCCACATGACTAAAACCTTCTAGCGCCTAACAGGCAGCTTGGGTTATCCGGGGTAATAATAATCAGATTCTGATAAAGTGCCGCAAGCAATCACTTGGTGTTTGGAGACTGTGCGCTATAGAAGATGACTTATTATCATTATTATTTCAGTGACAACTTCAAACCGAGAGCCTCAATGGAACATGTACTATCAAAAGAACATTACCTGATGGCTTGAGCTATGAAGATCGAGAAGCTCACTGCAATAAATGCTGAATCACTACTTTTCATACAAGGCACTACTCTTTGAGGGCAAGGCACGTCTTCCTTCATGATATTAACTCGCCTTTACTCATTTTTAAAAGTTTTGACTAGCTATATATATACAATATGATGATGGACTTGGAGGTTTAAGATCTCATCTCAAGAGTCTGGACCCCTAACAATATCTCATCGGTTCTTAATATTTTGTCCTTTCCATGAAATGGGCTGTCAGTGTAAAAACGTTTCACCCCATTGAGGTGCAACCCACCTGAGTTATGATAGACATTGTTGTACTGTACTGTGGCGACATCACATCGTGGACGTGGAGGACCCTCCTCGCCGTCTCCGTACCCGAGACTCCTGGATGATGCAATGTTCATTCCATCAGGGACATTTGGCACATGCTGCACATCCTGTAACACGAAGTAATACAATATACCTCACAACTACTCATCATCTGTCAAAATGTGCAAAACAGATTTCGTTTGCTATTTTAGTTTTATTCCATAGCATCACACTTAACATAATATATTTCTTAGATTACATTAGAATTAATTCATATTTTCCTGTGTTTGCAAATATAACGTTGTTTACATACCGGCGTCATGCTAAAAGTGGGAACCCACAATGACAATGGGGATATGTAACACCTTCTTGCCAAGTTTCACATGCCCGGCTTGTTTCTAATATGCAGCATACTATGTAATTTCCCGAGATTTCTGTTTCTCGCATTGTTTACTTCCAGCATATCAATGTGTGAACTTATTTTGTGCTCGCCTCCATAATCGTGAATCAAGCTGACAAAATTATATCTGACAGTACTCACTACTTAAATTCGGAATACAACCTCCTCCCTTCAGGCTACCGCTACAAAGTTCTAATTGTGAAAACTAAGAGAGCACGTACATCCTTTATTCCAAGTACCATATCTCTTTTAAACAAATGTGAAGATACTTAAATCAATGAATTTATGTAAATATGTTTTGCATCTCTCTGTCAGTAGCTCTGCTGATGTAACACAAATTCCTGAAAAGGCATTAAAGTATTATTCTATTCTATTCTATTCTATTCACTCGGTGCATGGTCAAAGGGCTGACATTATTACCCCAGAAAATGTACTTAAGTGTGCCTAGTTTTCATTCTCAGCTCCCTTGGAAGCCTACAACCAGCCTGGAAGGTCAACACCTACATTACATCTCCTCCTACCAGGTACCTATTACACTGCTGGACAAACAGAGGCATATTTCGGGACACAAGTCTTAAGGGTACTGTGTTAAGTCCAAGAAACTTTCATACTGTCGATTGTGGTCTCTCATCGTACAACTCTCCATTACTGACCTTGCTTTACATTACCTCATTTATGTATAGTGTCCCTTAAATGCTTAAAAACTTTGTTGGGTATTTGTGAAAACACAATGGAGAAAGGTGATCAGCACAATTATTCCATTAATTATTATTGTCACAAATCTGGCAAAACATGCCTCAGACTCACATATGAAAATAAAATCATTTGGTTATATGTTCAAATATATGGAACCGATATTGGGAAGTAGTTTTATAAACGTGCTCTTGATGAGCATGTAAATAAATGACAACTTACGGACTTGTTGACAAACATAATCCCTGAATCACCATTGTTGTTTATTTGGTTGCCATGGAGAAACGGTTGGGAGGCACTCATAATCCAAATTCCACATCCAGCATTACCTTGACAACAAGAAAAATCTCAATGAATAATTCCATAAAGGGAGGTGAGGTGAAATTGGGTTTAACGTCGTGCTTGAGAATATTTCGCTCATATGACGATGTGCATGCGTGTGTATGTGTATGTGCGGCTGCTTGTACTAGCCCAGACTGTAGCTGGTTTTATAGCGCTAGCCCACTGAGATACCATGCCGCAGTGAAGCATGAATACCCAACTCAGACACATTATACTGACTCCGAGCCGACCAGTCCTTGTTGTACCCAGTAATGCCGAGCACCAGGCAGGGACCAACAAGTACCATATTTTAACATCTTTTGGTATGACACGGTCGGGGATCGAACCCGCGACCTTCCACTCTCCGGGCGGACACTCTAACCACTACACCACGGAGGCGGTTAATTCCATAAAGTACCATTTAGGACAGGTGATATGAATGAAAGGATTTTGCATACAACACTGATCGCAAAGCATAGACAGCTAGACAACACAATACATATCACACACAATATACAGAGAGTACATGTCATAGACCTGGAATACTACAGCTTAAACAACAAAACATTTATAAACATATCATGAAACTCAGATGGTATGGCTGGTGATGATCCATATACAGTTGTGCCCCGTTTATCCGGACACTTGTGTTTTTCTTGAAATTGTCCGGATAAACGAATTTCCGGATATCTGAACCGAGGACTGTAGCGTTTGTGCTATTTGTGCGTTTGTGACATTTTGTGAAATGATCCGCATTCCACATTTCTCATTGGAGTTCACATTTTGTAATGATGCATGCGCAGTGACCTGTATCCGGTTGAGAAATAAAACTGACAGTAGAGTGTGAGCTACGAAAGTGTCCGGTTGTGTCTCTGGGTTCACAGAAACTTAAATGGGTATTCTACAATTGGCGAAGAGGATGGGATGGTGACTGAGGTATGTCTATGGTGAAATTGCAACACATTAACGGTTTGAAAGCGTTTGACTGTTCAGACACTGCCAGTCTCGCTCCTCGCTGGAAAAGATGGTTAAAGAATGCGGACCAAAAGAAAGCTTTATTGCTACATACAGCTGGGTTATCAGTGCAGGATATTTTCTTCACACTAGTTATCCCGGTAAACAAATTTGATTTGCTGTGGTATTGCATTAAACATGTTTATAGTTTTACACAACAGCTACAACTTGTTGGGTTGTTGGAGGAGCCTAGTGGTTAAGGCACTACCGTTTCATGATTTAGGCTCAGGTTTGATTCCCCAGACAGGTGCAATATGTACAGCCCATTTTTCACTTTTTGCATTATGTCACACTGAAATATTGGCTTTACTCCATTCTAGTCTGCCCCCTCATAATCAAATGTACACTTGGTAACTTCATTGAAATAAGAAACAGAAGATGTTTAACCTGAATGTAAACTGTCTTGAAACTTTTTATCATTTGTGTTATTGGTAACATGTATCTTAAAGTAGGGGTGTAGATACATTAATAGAACAGCACACTAGTTAGCCCTGAATGAGGATTGTTAATTAAGGACACCAACAACATTGGGTTTTTCATTTTATTTGTGCCCTAGTTTATCCATAGTGAAGCATTCAATTTGGCTTCCTCGAAGAAAAAACACACCTCACTCTACTTTCTAGTATAGTGAAATAAAGTACAATTTTTCCCTGAAAACATTTCCGACTCAATTGACTTTTGCACCCGGTGAACTTACCAGATATCACATTGTTCTCCAGGGATCCTCGACCCCGCTCTCCAATGACAATTCCATCGCCGATACCATGTGAGATAGTGTTGCCACTGACAACAGGATCACCACCATGTCGGATGTCAACACCACCCCACTGGTTACCACGGATGACATTATCTGTACAACAAATAACAGGATATGAAAAAAAAATACAATTTCTTTACATTTCATGTCTTTTGATACAAATCATTTTCATGTTCCTATGGGATAAAGGTATTTCACATTTAGCACATTCTTACCGAATATGAAGCCACATCCATTCTCATTCACTGCCACACCTGCTGCCTTGCCATCATAGATGTGGTTTTGACTGGAAAACAAATACCGATCCATGTGCTAAGTCATGTTGCAGTAAATGACTGAAGCTCACATAAAAGATCTGGAATTCCAGTGGTTCATGATGTGACACTTTCTAGAAGGCTGGCTGTTAGGGATGTCATGATACATAAGTTTCATGAATCGATACGTATCACGATACCCATGTCACGATTCAATATGTATGCACGATACCTATTTTCGCAGCATTATTGCGTAAATTTAGTTACATTTTGAACATTAATATTTCACATTTTATAATTGTCCATGAAAAGATCAACATTTTTGATTCTCAGAGATTAAAATTCCCATCTTTGTGCATGAAAAATAATCATTTATAACTCTCATAACATCAAAACCATGATGCAATTGCAAATGTAAACGATACATAAACATATTTAAACTGATATTTTCAAAACTAAATATCGATACAGTTTTGAATGTATCGATAATTGTATCGTCTTAGGAAAGTATCGATGTATCGTGGCATCCCTACTGGTTGTACCTATATAACAGCAAAACGAGGGAGATTCAAGGTCTTCTACGTCTCATCAGAGAAGAAAAAATCATTTACCAGAGAAAAATAGCATCACACACCAGAGAAGAAAGAATCACTCACCAGACAGTGGGGTTCCCCCCGTACAAGATGTAAACCCCAGCCTCTCGGTTCTCATAGATGTCATTCTTCTTCACCTGGCCACGCCCACTTCCCAGCACTACGACCCCTGACCTCTTCCCATGATGGATGCGGTTGTTCTGGAGAAATGACATGCATAGCAAGAAGTTCCATTAACCAAAATCTACAAATAGATTAATGACTTAAGTTTCAAAGATTTTTACTGCAATGCATTATGGAATCAGTGGGCCAGACATGAAAAAAAAACAATATTGAAAAGAACTACAATATGTTTTAATTTATCCTTATGTGAAGAAACAAACATAAGCATGTAACATGAGAATAATAAATTAAGATTGCAACCATAAAGCCAGATATGCAATGTGCACTTTATATAACCAGATGTGTAATGACAGTACTAACTTGTATGCTTCATTTTTCGGAACAGATTTGGTGAAATGGTATATCTGAAATGCCTACTGGTAATTTTCACAAACTGGGCAGGATTTTTCTATAAGAACAACAAATACTGATCTGTGTTTTTTCATAACAGTTGAGTTAATGGCCAAATGCACCACATTCTGTATATCAGCACTATAGCTATAAGACTACGTCCCTTTGCACGAAGAGATATATGCCACACATATATGCAGTTAAAACCTGCTGGCATAGTCATGAATATATCTACACTAAAGTATCTAGTCCACAGTAACAGTCTATAGGAGACATCTAAACCCTGAAAATATTGTTGGGCTTAAAAGGGGGTGGGGTGGTGAAATTGGGTTTAATCGCCATGCTTGAGAATATTTGGCTCATATGACGATGTGCATGCGTGTGTATGTGTATGTCGCGGCTGCTTGTACTAGCCCAGACTTAAGCTGGTTTTATAGTGCTAGCCCACTGAGATACCATGCCGCCAGTGAAGCATGAATACCCAACTCAGACACATTATGCTGACTCCAAGCCGACCAGTCCTTGTTGTACCCATTAATGCGGCGCCAGGCAGGGACCAACAAGTACCATATTTTAACATCTTTTGGTATGGCGCAGTCAGGGGGATCGAACCAGCGACCTTCCACTCTCGGTGGACGGGCGGACCGTCTATAAGATCTAATTCCCATGGATAAGACGACCCCAAACTTGACCCTTAAAATCAGTGTCAAAATGGTATGTTTCGCGTGTATAAGTCGATCCCCGCGATGGGGTCCCTAATCGCGGCAAACACAGACAACAGACAACTGGCAGTTACCAATAATTATAACTTTGGTCCACATTATTCTAAGAATTCACAGTCATATATATTGTGTCTACTCACGGATCGAAACGAAGCGTAGTTGACAGAAAATGCATAATATATTTTGCTTCTCTAAATATCATATTTATTGTAGCAACAAACTGGCTTTTGCATATTTTACCCCATTCAACAATCCGCGAACTGATTACCGCTTCGTTTTCCATTGACTGCTAGTTTTACAGTAACATCGGTAAAATGTGTGAATTTAAATGGCTTCTGTATTTTACCCCATTCCATGTCATGCACAACTTCTTCTTTACCACGCTCATGGTGGGTCCGTTATAACCTTTAGTGTTGATTATATTATATTTTATATATAAAACTGTAATTAAAATTACACAATGCTAGGGATATATTTCTTTGGGTTAAATAATAGTATTCTGTATTATATTTTACTGACGACCGCGCCAAAATTCGTCCCGTTATATTATTGTGCATGTTTGAACTTGTTAAGCCAGGAAAGCGTGTGCACAGCTGATTGCTATTTCCGGCTCAAATACACACGGTAATCTAAATTAATTTATAGAGCAAAAACTGTAACTAAAATTACACAATGCTAGGATATATTTCTTTGGGTTAAATAATAGTATTCTGTATTATATTTTACTGACGACTGCGTCAGAATTAGATCCCGTTATATTATTGCATGTTTGAACTTGTTAAGCCAGGAAGCGTGTGCACAGCTGATTGCTATTTCGCTCCAAATACACACGGTAATCTTAATTAATTTATAGAGCAAAAAACTGTAACTAAAATTACATAATGCTAGGATATATTTCTTTGGGTTAAATAATAGTATTCCTGTATTATATTTTACTGATGACTGCGCCAGAATTCGTCCCGTTATATTATTGTGCATGTTTGAACTTGTTCAACGGAAACGATTGTGCACAGCTGATTGCTATTTCCGGCTCAGATACACACAGTAATCTTAATTTAATTTATAGAGCAAAAACTGTAACGTAAAATTACATAATGCTAGGATATATTTCTTTGGGTTAAATAATAGTATTCTTGTATTATATTTTACTGATGATGATCGCGTCAGAATTGGCCCCGCTATATTATTGTGCATGTTTGAACTTGTTCACCGGGAAACGTGCACAGCTGATTGCTATTTCGGCTCAGATACGCATGGTAATCTTAATCCCTGCAAATAATACAATGCCCAGCAAGAACAACTTATAACTTAAAAAGGTAAATAATCTTGTCTAGTGATGTTTAATTGCAAAGTTGGCGTCTCTACTGACAAAGTCGTCTTCTGTTGTTTGTTCACGCAAAGTGATGCGATGTTGTTTTCTTACTCCTGGAAAAGTTTGACGAAAGCGTGAACTCCCATGGATAAGAGCGACCCCCTTCTACAGACTGCTTTTTGGTCCTCAAAATTAGGCTTATAGAGCGGTCATATATCGGTATCTTCCATGCAACTTTCAATATTAATCCACTTTCCTTTATCATCAACTACCCACTGGAGTATACAGGTGCATAGAACTACTTACCTGTACAATGGGGTCAGCATTCTTCCGAATGTCTATGACGGCCTCCATGTTGGAATGGATATCATTACGCACGAAACAGGGAAATTCATGATTAGTGTTGTGATCGGGTGAACAATTCCAGATTGCTCTATTTGCTTTGCAATTACCATAACAGCTGTTTCAAAGATACAACATTACAAATCAGACATGTGACGTTTCAAGCTTGCGATGAATGTAAATAGGGCTGGCTATTGCTATGGATCATAGAGAGTGATAATTGTTAACTAAATACCAATCAATTATCAATTAATATCAGAAAAATAAATTTGAGTAAAAATGAAAAACAAAAAATCACAGGTGTTGACTCATGCTATTGGACCACCTGTTTGCTGGTCATTCACTCCACATTCCCTCCCTTCCCTTTTCTCCCCTTCCCTACCTATCTCCCTCCCTTCCCCATTACCTTCCTTCCCCTCCCACCCTTCCCCTTACCTGCTATCTCCCTCCTTCCCCACTTCCTTCCCCTTACCTGCTATCTCCACCCCTCCCTCCTTCCCTACCCTCCTACCCTTCCCCCCTTCTTAAGCATCTCTCCCTTACCTGAATATCTCCCTCTCCCCTTACCTGCTATCTCCCTCCTCTATCCCCTCCCTCCTCCCTGCTATCTCCCTCTCTCCCTTTACCCATTCACCCTCCCTCCCCTTCTCCTTACCTGCTATCTCCCTCTTCCCCTTACTCATCTCCCTCCCTCCCCCCCTTCCCTCCCTGCCATCTTCCCTCCCTCCCTTTCTCCCCTTACCCTGCTATCTCCCTTCCCTACCTCCTTTCTCCCTCTCTTCTCCACTACCTATCTCCCTCCTTCCCCTTTACCTGCTATCTCCCTCTCCTTCACCTTTACCTACATTCTCCTCCCTTCCCCCTTACCTTAGCATCTCCCTCCTTCCCTTCCCCTTACCTACATCTCCCTCCCTTCCCCTTACCTGCTATCTCCCTCCCTTCCCTTACCAGCTGTCTCCCTCCCCTTCCCCTTACCTGCTCTCCTCCTCCCTTCCCCCTTACCTGCATCTCCCTCCTCCCTCCCCCTTACCTCATCTCTCCTCCCTTCCCCTTCCCTGCTATCTCCCTCCCCCTCCCCTGTTACCAAGCATCTCCCTCCCTCCCCTTCCCCTTACCTACACCTCCCTCCCTCCTTACCCTTATCTCCCTACCTTCCCCTTACCTTGTTATCTCCTCCCTCCCCCTTACCTGCTATCTCCCTCCCTTCCCCACTCCACCTCCTCCCTCCCTTCCCCCTTACCCTCCCTCCCTCCCCTTACCTCATCTCCCTCCCTCCCTTACCTGTCTATCTCCCTCCCTTCCCCTTACCTGCTATCTCCCTCCCTTCCCCTTACCTGCTATCTCCCTCCCTTCCCCTTACCTGCTATCTCCCTCCCTTCCCCTTACCTGCTATCTCCCTCCCTTCCCCTTACCTGCTATCTCCCTCCCTTCCCCTTACCTGCTATCTCCCTCCCTTCCCCTTACCTGCTATCTTCCTCCCCTTCCCTTACCTGCTATCAGTCCAGAAGCAGCAAGTCTCATGAAGATCCCAGATGTTCGACAATGGTGGATCTTGTTCTTGAGAACCACCACCTGGTAACAATGTTTAAGTGGTCATGACTGGTTAGTTCAAATTATCAAAATCACATGTACAGACATCTGCTATGAAACCAGTTGCTTTTAATAGCATATATGTGTGGGACATAATACATATGACCATGACTCTGTCATACTAAAAGATTCATTAGCATGTCTGACACTTGGCATTATATACAAGGACTGGGCAGCTCTGCTCGGAGTTGGTACACAGTCAGAGTTGAGTATCCAAGTTCCTTCCAATTTCACCTTACCTCACCTCACCTAATACATCGATAAGTCTCTGCTTGTCTACAAAGAATCTAACTCTAAAAAGACAGGGGCTCGTTCCTCAAAATGATCGTATCTCACCATCGTTTAACATAGACTTACGACTGTCGTAGCGCTACGATTGCTTTGAGGAACGGGGCCCAGAACCATATGTCCACTCACAAGTAAATGCATGAAAGCTGTCAACATACCCTTGAGTTTTGTATACATCTGATGCCATAGCCAACGTTGCAGATGTCACACTCAGACACGATGGCGTGTGCCTGGAGGCTGACCATGACGCCGCCTTTCGAGTGGATCATACGACACTGATGTATGAGACAACCTGGAATAGAATGGATATCTTAACATGGACTCTATCAAGAACACAGGATGTGGACAGGGGTATATTCAAACACTCAATACAGCTTTAGTACACCAAAGTATACTACTCACCTATCGATACAGCTTTAGTATACCAAAGTGTACTGCTCACCTTTCGATACAGCTTTAGTACACCAAAGTGTACTACTCACCTATCGATACAGCTTTAGTATACCAAAGCGTACTACTCACCTATCGATACAGCTTTAGTATACCAAAGTGGACTGCTCACCTTTCGATACAGCTTCAGTATACCAAAGTGTACTGCTCACCTATCGATACAGCTTTAGTATACCAAAGCGTACTACTCACCTATCGAGCTTTAGTATACCAAAGTGTACTGCTCACCTTTCGATACAGCTTTAGTATACCAAAGTATACTGCTCACCTATTGATACAGCTTTAGTATACCAAAGTGTACTGCTCACCTTTCGATACAGCTTTAGTATACCAAAGTGTACTGCTCACCTATCAATACAGCTTTAGCATACCAAAGTGTACTGCTCACCTATTGATACAGCTTTAGTATACCAAAGTGTACTGCTCACCTATTGATACAGCTTTAGTATACCAAAGTGTACTGCTCACCTATTGATACAGCTTTAGTATACCAAAGTGTACTGCTCACCTATTGATACAGCTTTAGTATACCAAAGTGTACTGCTCACCTATCGATACAGCTTTAGTATACCAAAGTGTACTGCTCACCTTTTCTCATTGCTTTAGTATACCAAAGTGTACTGCCCACCTTCTCGATACAGCTTTAGTATACCAAAGTGTACTCACTCACCTATTGCTACAGCTTTAGTATACCAAAGTATACTGCTCACCTATTGATACAGCTTTAGTATACCAAAGTATACTGCTCACCTATCGATACAGCTTTAGTATACCAAAGTATACTGCTCACCTATTGATACAGCTTTAGTATACCAAAGTATACTTCTCACCTATCGATACAGCTTTAGTATACCAAAGTGTACTGCTCACCTATCCATACAGCTTTAGTATACCAAAGTGTACTGCTCACCTATCGATACAGCTTTAGTATACCAAAGCCGCACTGCTCACCTATCGATACAGCTTTAGTATACCAAAGTGTACCACTCACCTATCGATACAGCTTTAGTATACCAAAGTGGACTGCTCACCTATCGATACAGCTTTAGTATACCAAAGTGTACTGCTCACCTATCGATACAGCTTTAGTATACCAAAGGGTACTGCTCACCTATCGATACAGCTTTAGTATACCAAAGTGTACTGCTCACCTATCGATACAGCTTTAGTATACCAAAGTGTACTGCTCACCTATCGATACAGCTTTAGTATACCAAAGTGTACTGCTCACCTATCGATACAGCTTTAGTATACCAAAGTGTACTACTCACCTATCGATACAGCTTTAGTATACCAAAGTATACTACTCACCTATTGATACAGCTTTAGTATACCAAAGTGTACTGCTCACCTATCGATACAGCTTTAGTATACCAAAGTGTACTGCTCACCTATCCATACAGCTTTAGTATACCAAAGGGTACTGCTCACCTATCGATACAGCTTTAGTATACCAAAGTGTACTGCTCGCCTATCGATACAGCTTTAGTATACCAAAGTATACTACTCACCTATTGATACAGCTTTAGTATACCAAAGTGTACTGCTCACCTATCGATACAGCTTTAGTATACCAAAGTGTACTGCTCACCTATCGATACAGCTTTAGTATACGAAAGTATAGCTGAACTGACTGACTGAGTATGGTTTAATGCTGCTTTTAGCGATATTCCAGCAATATCATGATGGGGGACACCAGAAATGGGCTTCACACATTGTACCCATGTGGGGAATGGAACCCGGACCTTCGGCGTGACAAGTGAACGCTTTAACCACTAGAAAACCTGACCGCCCCGATTCAGCTGAAGTTAACTAAAGTGTGCAACTGAATTATTGGTACAGCTGAAGTTAACCAAAGTGTACAACTGAATTATTGGTACAGCTGAAGTTAACCAAAGTGTACAACTGAATTATTGGTACAGCTGAAGTTAACCAAAGTGTACAACTGAATTATTGGTACAGCTGAAGTTAACCAAAGTGTACAACTGAATTATTGGTACAGCTGAAGTTAACCAAAGTGTACAACTGAATTATTGTTAAAGCTGAAGTTAACCAAAGTGTACAACTGAATTATTGGTACAGCTGAAGTTAACCAAAGTATACAACTGAATTATTGGTACAGCTGAAGTTGACCAAAGTGTACAACTGAACTATTGTTAAAGCAGAAGTTGACCAAAGTTTAGAACTGAATTATTGGTACAGCTGAAGTTAACCAAAGTGTACAACTGTCTACAGAAGGACATAGCACTTACCCTGAACCTGATCAACGACAGATCGCATGAGGCTGTCCTGAATGACATCAGTTGGAATCGGTTGAGATGTCTGGCTACTGATGGAAACAATATCAGCATTGACGCCCTGTGCAGATATTGATGCCTGGATGTGTTTCTGCCGCAGGTGAGGCAGCATGATGACAGACTCCTCCCCTGATGACAAGTCATCATCCGAGTCTGTGTGTACGATTCTTTCAATATCCTCGTCATCATCACTGCTGCTGCTGATACTGCCAGGTCGACCAACATCTAGCGGAGATATGAAAGTGAAGGCACACCTGAGTGAGTGAGTGAGAGAGAGAGAAAAGAGAAAGAGAGAGAGACAGAAAGAGAGAGAGAGAGAGAGAGAGAGAGAGAGAGAGAGAGAGAGAGAGAGAGAGAGAGAGAGAGAGAGATTTCATGCTGCTTTTTGCAATAATCCCAAATTACAGCAGCTTACAATGGAAATTGTGTTGTTTGTATTTACACCACTAAGCTGCAACAAATTAGCAAAATCATGATTATTACAATATACCCCAATTTTTCCAGGTTCTACATGTTTCCCAAAGTTTAATATGAAATTTTCAATCAGAAACAGATGATCTCACCTGGTGAACTTGATCTTGCAGAGTCAAGGTCATCAAGGAAAGACAAGCTGTCCTCACTGTCAAATGACAATCTGGAGTGAAGACTCTGCCCACTATCTGGGCGTGGCTGATTTTCAAAGTTGCCTTCATTCAAATCTAAGTGTGGTACTTGTATTGCTGCTGCCTCTGCATTATCTGCCCCTCCTTGGGCCTCATTTTCATCTACCCTAGCCTCATTTTCATTTACTGCAGCCTCTACATGAATACATGCAGCCTCATTCTGATTTTGGACGGGTTCTTGCATCACACTTTCTGAAGTTGCCTGTAAGTTGGCATTGGAATCATTAGAGTTTGAAATAGATTCATGTTGATGACTGACAGAACCTTGAGTATTGGATGAATTTTGATTGTCTGTAGTTTCCGGTAAATCTGCAGGTGGTTGATCAGCTACCCCATTGCTGACAAGCATTGGATTTGGAATGTTTTGGGATGGTTCCAGCGAATCACAATATGAAGTACCTGATTGGTCATTATGATCATGTGACGCTGAATCTGAACTGTGATTGGCCAGATGAGCTGAAGATGCAGTCATGGAATGCATGGTTGACGCATGAGACTCAGTAGTTTTCATAGTTATGAGTGATTGTCTCCTCTGACGACGATTCTGTGAAAATATTGAATTCATCCGTGATCGCAGGTAAGAATAAGTCCAGTTTCTCTCATCCTTCGAATACCCTTCAACAATGATATCTGCTGTGTCACTCTGGGAAAATTCACAGTTTTCAATAACACTGACATTCATATGTTGTAGAATGATGGTAGCGTGACGGAATGTGCAGAATCGGATGTGACACGTCCCAGGGTTCTGCGCATACACCATACCATCCTCCAAAATGCAGTTGTCCAACTGAAGGTACCCAGCTCGAATCTACAACAAAACAGTCAACATGGTGACGCTGCTAAAGGTTGACACAGATTTTTCACCAGCTGTTCAAATGTTGATGATACAGTATAAACAAGCATTGTCACTAAGGTGACATAATCCCCCGGCGCAAATTATCAAATCAAACTTAAAAATTTCATTAATTAAATTAATGAAAGTGAAGGTTGTAGTTTAAGATGATTTAATTGTCAACAAAAACATGACCAGTCAACCTCTCTTGATATCTTGTTCTGTAGCTGTTCAAACACACAAATATTTTCAAGACTTACTTTGACCTTGACATGAATGTCATGGTGTATGAAATGTGCCAAAATAGTAATAAGGACAAGTCTTGAAAGTCGATGAAGAAAATACAGTGAACCGTTCTTGAGATATCTCGCTGACAATCTTAACATGCAAGTTAACATGCTGAAATCTTCAAAGTGTCGCTGTGACCTTGAAAATTACGTCAAGGTCACCAAAATCGACTGGGCCCTGCACCTTTCCTAGATAAAGCGTGGCGTCGAATATGAGGAAAATCCAGTGAATGGTACTTGAGATAACTTGCTGACAAGGGTAAAACGTTAAAGTCCCCTTGTGAACTTGAAATGAAGGTCAAGGTCACCAAACCTGACTGGGACCTTTCATATACTGTGATGAACCTTGATGAACCTAGGTACCAGATATGAAAAGAATCTAGTCAACAGTTCTTAAGATATTCCATTTCGTATGTACGGACGGAAGCCTAATACTATATCCCCCGCTTCACCTAAATGCATGTCGGGGGATAATAACGCAAGTAGAGTATGCAATTGTTTTCTCTTAAAGGTCACATGCAACCAAAAAATCAAACATAATTAAAACACAATTATCACTTATTCATGACATATAATATACATTGCTGGTTATGAAAAAACATATAAACAAAATTATAAGCGTACAATCGCAAATCAAAAGTGCAATATTGTGTACTTGGGTTTACTTCCCAAGAAGAAAAGCAGACGGGATACCGAACCCAGTCACAGCGTTGGGTGTGCACTCAGGTGTAACGGCTGGTTCATTAGCAGATGCCCTCACGGCTCATTGTGTGTGTATATATAGAGATGTTGGGTTTTGTAAATACATGCTCATTTTTTGTGTATAACATTTTGCAATCAACAGACATCATAACATGTCATGTGTTCAAGTATCACACCTGCCTGTCTGTGTAATTACATAATGTGACAGAGACCGAACTCGGGCCATAAATCAATGCATTTTGTTTATAGTGTATAGCCTGATTGGTGTTAAGTTCAAATTGCATGTGGTCAGTGATAGCAGCTGTGTATTGAATATTGTCATTAGCAGACAGGCAGGCAGACACACAGGTGTCAATAAAACAAGACATTGAGTTTTGTCTGTGACAACGACATATCTATATCACAGTTAGAAATTCTGTCAACACTAAATAATGACATTGCTTTTAAGTATCGAACTGAGAAAGTGATGCGGTAAGAAGAACGTGTGGTGAAATAGACAAATGAAATTATATAAACAGTTAATTTACTGTCATAACATATAAAAAGCTCGCGCCTGTGAGATATCAACAAAACATTAGAAAAATAGCTCACACCAAAGCCTTCACCGAGTATTCACCGGACAACCCGCTTCCAAGCTGCGCAAACCTATTTCACTGCAATCAGCGCAGCCCATCTGTTGAAACCAGTTTTCCCCCGAAAAGTCGGGGGGAAATTAGTGAAACGTTTGAACTCCTATTTCGCGCGGTTTTTTTCGCGTTATTTTTCAACTTTATAAGTTGAATTTGCATTTTTGACGATTTGTTTCGGTAAGTCCATACCGCAAGGTATCAGAATCTGCAAAGTTGTGTTTTACGCTGCATGAGACCTTTAACTTTTACTGTTTAATCAAGTATACTTGAATCTACAACGAAATGACAATAACTAAGGAAACAGCTTCGCGACCAACAGAGTATAAATCTCCCAAAAATTTCAGCCTTTGCCAGCCCTGACCAAAGCTTACCTACCCACAAAATATCTTCATATATACATGTCTAAATTTTATATAATTGTCGGACTGGTCAATTTGAGAATCTGGCAGTCCATGTTGAAAATAACCTGTCCTGGGCGGTCGGGCAGGCAGGTATCTCGAATGCTGCTAACAACATCTGTAACTATGGTAACTGGAGACTTTCAGATCACTAATTCATCAGTATGTAATCTTAATAATGGCTTTAGCACTGTTTGGGATACTGTTTACAGTTATATGAAGGGCCCAGTAATGTGTGTAATTTACTCCAATTTTTTGTTGTTGAGTGGTATGCCTTTGTCTGGCTCTTCACTAAAGTTATCTATGTACATGAGAGTTTTCTCCCTTCTTTTAGCGAACCATGGTCTGTACCACAGACTCTGGATAAACCAGAAATTGAACGTACTGAATCCAACTTAAGTCTAATCTGCCTCAGTTCTAGAAATTACCAGTCAGCTTTGTTCCACTTGGATGGTAATTTTCATTTTGAGGACATGTATTTTGAATTTAGATAATAGTGCTGCAACGATTCGGTTCGATTCATCAAAAATCGAATCTGATAACTTTGTTTCGATTTTCGATAACCATTATCACTATTTCGATTCGATATTTGAATCCCTATTCAAATTTTTTCCACACAGCTAGAACGTAATTTTGACTCCAACTTGAGCAGCTTCGAACACTGAAATTAGGCGAAACGTGATTGGTTGATGCCGGGTTAATTATCCAATGAAAATTGTTGTTACTAGACATCACGAAGTTGACGATGGATTTCACGATAAAAAAGCCAACTCTGAGAGTTAATGAAATCTGATGTTTTTACTTGTATGAAGAATCGAATCTAAACTGATCTATTCGAGGGTCCAATATCGAAAATCGAATTGAATCGAGGTCTGGGAGAATCGTTGGAGCCCTATTAGATAATAATGAAAATATATTTCTGGGATTAAATGTCAGTCAAATCAAGACCATGATGCAGGTTAAGCAGGAAGTAATCAAAACGAGTAGGAGTGAGTGAGTGAGTTTGGTTTGACGCCGCTTTTAGCAATATTCCAGCAATATCACGGCGGGGGACACCAGAAATGAGCTTCACACAATGTACCCATGTGGGGATTCGAACCCGGGTCTTCGGCGTGACGAGCAAACGCTTTTACCACTAGGCTAACCCCCGGCCCCCAAAACGAGTAGGAAAATGATGTAATATCTTTGCTGATTTTACCTTACAATTTCAATGTTTTCATCCTGCCTATCATTGCCATTGTTGTATTTCTGCTAAGCGGAAATGGAACCAGTATAGAAGTATCTGGACGCGTGTGATTCACCAAATCTTCTGCATGTTCTACAGTTTATCATATCAGTAATCAACAAATGTGTATTATCTATGAGTAGAGTCAGTGAGTGAGTTTAGTTTTATGTCGTTTTTAGCAATATTCCAGCAATATCACGGCCGGGGGCACCAGAAAAGGGCTTCACACATTGTACCCATGTAGGGAATCAAACCTGGGTCTTCAGTGTGACGAGCGAATGCTTTAACCACTTGGCTACCCCACCAACCCAATGACAAGAAATTCATACTAGATATGCACACCATAGAAATCAGCATGTATAAAGTTCAATAATTACCATCAGCTTGAACTGATGTTATGTCAAGAGCAGTCAAGTTCTTACCTTGAGAATAAATGTTGTGAACCACGGTGCTCTCAATACAAGATTGCTCAGACGTCCAGTCAGGGCAATTTGTTCTATACACACCACTAAGATAACACTACCAAGTTCTCCCACGCCAACCAACTCAAAAGGAATTTTGGATGTCATCTCAAATTGTTCATCATAGATTCCAGGATAAACCTCTATCCGATCAAAGTCATTGGCCACAGAAAGAGCACTTTTTAACGAAGAATGTTCTTTCCCACGTCCGACTCGTATAATTTTTCTATCTTTTTTCCGCTTGAGAACATATAGACAGCTGCTGTGACTGAGATCTCGCGAGCACTGTGACCACTGCCTTGTTGACAAGTACTGATCATGATATGCCTGTTTCCAAGATGGCGGCTCGGAATGAATGTTGAGTGGCCAGAATGGATGCTTCCAGTCTTCACACTTTAGGTACAGTTCCTTCCATCTTGATCCATCTAAACTGAGGATAAGATCATTCCAGGTTTTGCTCACACAGCACCCTCGACACAGGTCTGCTGCGTTAAGATATGAAAGTATCATCTGCCATATTTCCCAAGGGAGACCACTCTTGTCCCCTGGCAGCACCTTGCTCATTGTATCCGTTTTCACCGTAGTTGTAGACATTGTCAATTCTTGCTAGGCACTTGAATCGAAACAATGACACCCATTCTGAATTAGCACTCGAGTTGGATATTTTCTTCTGCCAAGCATGCTACAGATATTTTGGACCAGTACATATTCTATGCAAGAATAATTTTGGTCACTTTCTCTTGAATCAGTTTCCCTTGTTGTCATGGTGATGAATTTAGTTTCTTTACCCATTTTACTTCAGGACCTGAAATATTGGAGAGGACAATATAAACATGTATGCCGAGTGAATAAACATTCAAGAAATGCAAGAACATCTCCCTGTACCTAATCACTTTTGATGTACCATGTTCACCCAAACCTGTGTAGGAACTGCAGCTGATATTCCTCGATAAACTACATCTTAAACAAACATATTCGAAGGTTTCTTGGTGTTTTCCACATTTCACCATTATATGACACTGCTTGTATTGGTTTACAATATGGTGATATTATCACTATAACACTTTTCAATCTCTGGTTTTTAGCACATTTCACCATTATGACACTAAATCTTTGAAGGGCATTATGACACAGGTCGTACTGCTTCACAATATGGTGATATTATCACTATAACACTTGTCAATCTCTGGTTTTTAGCACATTTCACCATTATGACACTAAATCTTTGAAGGGCATTATGACATAGGTCGGACTACTTCACAATATGGTGATATTATCACTATAACACTTGCCAATCTCTGGTTTTCAGCACATTTCACCATTATGACACTAAATCTTTGAAGGGCATTATGACACAGGTCGTACTGCTTCACATAGTGATATCATCACCATGTGGATCTCTGGATTTAGCACCCTCCACCATTATGACACAGGTGTCACATTGGGTCACGGTTCAATGATGTTATCACTATATCACGTGTTGATCTATCAAAGATGAAAAGTGTAACATAAACATCATCACAATTTACTGGTTGTGACTACAACACACCTATCATGTCAGTTAGCCAATATCACACAATACCTGGGAACTGTGCACCCATCTAAGCATGTGTTATAAAAGATCTTCTTTGATACTTTGCATCAGTTTACTTTATAAGTTATCACATCATGTCGAGGGAAATAAGGGGTTTTATCAGTCCCTCATAAGGTTGTATTCCCCGAGCCCCGAGTCCGAGGGACTGATAAAACCCTGTATTTCCCTCGACACGATGTGATAACGCATTTATCTAGCCGAATGTTTTTACTAAATCAAAAGAAAACAATACGCATCAATTTCATTCTCAGTTGTTGTGGCAAAACGTTTCCTTGCTGCCATGTTGACGCCAACTGATCGATTGACCTCAATGCAGTGCACGTTACTAAAGGTTTGGCGATGCACGCTTTTCTCCCTTCGCGTGGTCACCGAGGCGTGGCGGGATAATATGACTTTTGTCCTCCCTGCTCGCGGATCGTGATGGGTGTACATGGTATTTTATCAGAGTCACGTGAACCAATCAAAACTCGACATTCTTACATGAGGTTGGATAATCAGTTTTAACAAATCTCTGAATTCTTTTTTGTGGTGTCAACCCCTTCAACACGCTGTGCATTATCAAAGCAGTGGCAGTCATTTTCACATCTACAAAATGCTTTGAGATGCATCTTAAAAGTTGATTATTAATAATAAAGGCAAGATATTTTATGCAGTTCAAATCTGCTACCACAACCCCTCAATCAAAAGAGACAAAGAATACCTCTTCCACCTACACAACAACAGAGCACTCCATCTAACATCCCTAATGAACCATGTCTGAAATGTGCCTGTTCTATCGCCTCAGTTACAGAAGGCTTCTTCTAGTTATTATAATTGCTATAATCACTAACTGTTGTTGTAAATACCTTTCATGAATACAAGCATGCTGTTCTGTTAATCTTCATCACATGTATACAGATCTGTTCCGTTCTGTATCACTTCACTCTTGCTTGAGAATTAGTGCCTTTCCTTTAACAGCGCTTCTATTTTGCAAGATGATCTACATTGTATAACAAAGTACGCTTGAGAATACAGTACGTTCACAATTACAAAAACAATACGTTTATGTCTGTAATTACCATTAGTTCGGATAAAGAAAGCTTTTGCAGCTTATAACATAGAGATGATCGTGTTACCACATTTATGGAATCGAAGACAGGAGTTCTGCTGATCTTGTGTTCAGCAATCACGCCGCCCTCAGAAATCTCAACTAATCAGATTGTTCATAAGCGCCCTGATCTAGTCAACAAATTCGTTACAACATACATTACATTATATGTGGGTTGTGACATTGCAGTATATATCCGTGAACTTTATTTGTCGATAGCGCAGTTTGATGCGTCCGACCATCACCTCGTAAACATAAACAAACGAGGCTCGGTTCAGTAACTACTTCCGGGTCACGTGACAGTAAGCGCTTCCTCGCAGTTATATAATAAAAATGCACGGACTGTTAAAACATTTGTCACATGTGCTCCATAGCTTGTAAAACAAAATTATGATAATTCTTCTTTTTATGAGTCACCTTCTACTTCCATGAGTGGAATTTTCAGGTTCCAAAAGGTTGTGAAGGCACTGATAGTGCTATATTCCTATCTACCACTTTTATATTCCCTTTGTATTTTGTAAAGGCGTCTGTCGTAACAGATTTGGGGGGGGGTAAGTTTTCCTCCTGTCAGCTGAATATGTTTTCATAAACGATGCTCCACGGTGATGATAACGTTTGCATTTAAAGAAAGAGAGATACGTTTATACTCTTTTGTGTACCTATAACGCTAGATTTGAAAGAACCCAACTTTATATCCGAGCGTTCACACAGCAAGTGTTAGATAACAGATAAAACAAAAAAAGCCTTTCTATTCATAGGAAACTAACGTCTCCGCTGTAACAGCATGTTGTCAATACAGAGGAGTGTCATATTTCAGGTGGACTAAAGAATGTCTTAAGTAAATGTTGTCTTGAATTTAGACCGCTCAACCGTAACGTCTATGTCACTAAATAACAATATTGTTATTATTATAGGATATATATATAGCGCACATATCCACGCACTAGTGCATGCTCAAGGCGCTGGTATTTTTTCCCTCGATCATTGGATGTCAATCTGAACGGCACATCGCATTATCAATCTCAACTCCCTGGGGAGTATACAACTCTTTCAGCCACTAGGCGCACCGAGTTCTTGTGGCTTTCTCGTCCTAACGAGGTACCCATTCACAGCTGGGTGGACTGGGACACATAGTCACGGTACTTTGTCCATGTCCACTGCACGTTGCTGTACCCGCAACTAGGTGTTTGCACGTATTCCTGTGGCCACCAACTGGTCAAATACCAACGGATTCGTGGGATCTTTTAAGTGCACAGGGTTGTGTACTGTACACTGGGGGTTGTGACAACACTGAAAGAGTCTGCACACAAAGTTGACTCCAAGGTTTTTACACCCGGTCACAGGTGGGCTCCAATATCCAAGGTAAATGTCTTGACTGAAGAGTGGCCACTGTAACTGTTTACGCAACTATCAACATTCCGTTACAAAGCCTTGAACTAATGCAATTATTTCATAATAAAAGTAGGGTCTTGTTCCAGAAATTGATATTAGCCTATGTCGTAAGCCTAGGTGACATGAAGGGGTAGCCTGATGGTTAAAGCGCCCGCTCGACACGCTGAAGACCCGGGTTCGATTCCCCATATGGGCACAATGTGTGAAGCCCATATATGGTGACCCCATCCGTGATATTGCTGGAATATTGCTAAAAGCGGCGTAAAAAATCATACTCACTCACTAACACTAGGTGACGGGAACGGGAATGGAGCCAACTACAATTCAAAACAAAGTGCTCTTGTCAACCAAACTGGGGAAAAATATATTTAAAACTGGAATTATTTTATTTTGATTATGCTACATTCCGAAGTATTCTGACTTTGCATACAAATGTTAAAATCAAATGTAATATGGCGTGAAGGCTTTGCGAGCAAGTGCTGCAGGATTAGGGCTGCATATTGACCGCTGAGCTGGACCCGGTTCCACAAAGCGAATTTAACGCTAAGACGATCGTACCTCCTATACTTTAACATTGGGGAGCGGTGGGGTAGCCTAGTAGTTAAAACTTTCGCTCGTCACGCCGAAGGCCCGGGTTCGATTCCCGATGAATGTGCGAAGCCCATTTCTGGTGTGGCCCGCCGTGATATTGGTGGAATATGGCTAAAAGCGGCGTAAAACTAAACTCACTCACTCACATTAACCATTGGTTTGCTATAGTCATGGCAGTAAGAGCTATTTGTGGAGTGGGTGTTTCCCTGGTGTCATGTATGAACAAGCTCAGTCGTATTCCAGATGTCCAATTATAACATGACAGTTTATGTTATGGTCAGTTTACATTAAGATACGTTGAAGACCAATGTAGAAAAGTGGAAAAGTAATTTACTACTTTGCTTTTATTAACAATTACGAATTTTGCGTTTTTGGTGTTTCGCGATTTCTTTAGTATTTCGATTTTTCAGAAACGACAAAATTAAATTACCCTGCCAACGAATGTATACTCATGCCAATAATGGTTGTCAAACCACCACGAACAGACCCCAGTCCCCCCCACCCCAACGTGCGGGTGTGCGGGTGTGTGTGGTTACGTCGAAGATTGATTTCTCCACTAACTTTGATTTTTATCATTTACTGAACTCATGACAATAATCTTATCAACGTTACTGATTTGTTTTACAATACATCAGTTCATGTGTAAACAGTACCCTTAAACAGTATGGACTGTTTTGCAAAATTTAGTTTAGAACAGTTGCCTAAAGTAAGTGGCTATATTTACACTAGTGAGTCTAAACTTTTGAGTGAGTGAGTGAGTTTAGTTTTACGCCGCACTCAGCAATATTCCAGCTACACTCTGGGGCAAAAGAAACGATACCATATTATTGAGGCTGACACGATGACAAAAGATAAACAGAAAATCAATGTTGTAATTAGAAGACAAATAGGTGAGGAGCATGGAAAATCAAATTCATTAATCGAGGCCAATAATTGTTTGAGATAATTGCTAAAAGACACATAATCTTCACATGTCCTGTATTCGATCACTCCAGTAAGATGAGATACGTCAATGTCTGTGACACAGAGACACTCCTGCGAGTCGGTGACTTACCCGGCATCGATGCAGGCTCTAACACGACGTCAAACAGATGAGGTCAGACGTCTGATCACGTGAGGAGGTATCCTGTTCCACTCCTCCCTCAAAGCTTGGATAAGGGTTTGTCTGTTCACTGGGGCGACCTGTCTGGCACGAATCTGTCTCCCAAGATGGTCCCACAAATGCTCAATGGGTGAAAGATCCGGAGAGCGTGATGGCCATGGCAGGACAACAACGTTGTTGGCGTTGAGAAAGCCTTGAACACGTTGAGCAGTGTGACATGGGGTGTTGTCCTGTTGAAATACGGTTCCTGGATTCTATTGTAGGAAGGGTAGAACAACTGGCCGAAGGACTTGGTCGATATAACGCTGCCCATTCAAATTCCCATCGACAACAGCCAGATCTGTCTTTCTGTCACCACATATCCCTCCCCACACCATAACGCCATCACCGCCAAACGGCTCAACCTCTTGCACGCAGCAACGTGCCGTCCGCTCTCCTCTGCGTCGATGCATTCGTGTCCTGCCGTCAGGTCTGTTCATGAGGTATCTGCTCTCATCAGTAAACAAGAGTCTGTCCCATTGTTTGCGCTGCCAACCTTGAACGATACGTGCCCATCTCACACCTCGACGTCGATGTAGGCGCCTCAGTGCTAAACCACGGTAGGGTCTGTAGACTCGGATACCATGCTGACGAAGTCTCCTGGACACCGTTCTTCGGCTGATACGATGACCCAGCGCAGTCGATGCTGATGATGTCACAGTGAGGAATCGGTTGCGCAAATGCAGGGTACGCAAGTAACGGTCGTCAGCTGGGGTCGTGGCCCGAGGTCTGCCACTCCTCGGCCTGTCCTGTGTCCTGCCTGTCTGTCTGTAACGGGTCATCAGCATGGTTATTGTCAATCGGCTACAACCGAAGATCCTGGCGACGTGATTGTGGGTAGCGCCAAGTTGGATCATGCCAATTACCCTTTCTCTCTCTTCTTGCGATAATCTCGGCATGGTCGCAAATGTAATCGTAAAATGTGGATGTCCATAAACATTTTCACCTGCACTGTTACCGAATATTTGTCACGTGTGTCATGTGTGCACGTGCACGAAACTATCGTGAATAAGTTCACTTTTCTGGGTTCTTGCTTTGCAGGTGCATCACTGTTTCATTGAGTCAGCTTTGCTGCGATCTGTTGAATGTTTCTAGCCATAAATACTCAAAATAATCAAAGTCCAAACACAAATTATCATTTTAAAAAGCTTGGTATCGTTTCTTTTGCCCCTGAGTGTATATGGCGGCGGGCTGTAAATAATCGAGTCTGGACCAGACAATCCAGTGATCAACAGCATGAGCATCGATCTGCGCAATCGGGAACCGATGACATGTGTCAACCAAGTCGGCGAGCCAGACCACCCGATCCCGTTAGTCGCCTTTTACGACAAGCATGGGTTACTGAAGATCAATATTCTAACCCGACCTTCACGGGTTGTCTAAGCTTTTGATCAGTAGTATATAACATTTTCCATCCAGTGCTGGTATGGGGGACTCTCGGTTCAAAACCGAAACAAGCTCAATAAAATTGTAAAAGTTATTAGCATAGTTGCCAATATAGAATTTGACTGTTTATCTTTTATATATGAAAAGCGTGAATTATGCCAAGCACTCAAAATTTTAAGTGATCCCTCCCACATTTTACACTCTGAGTATAAACGTTTACCATCTGGCCAACGTTATCAGCTTCCAAAACTAAAATCAAATAGGGCCTTAAAACTTTATTCCATCAAGTTTTTATAAATTTATAATTATAGGTAGAATGTTTCTTTTAACAAGGTATTGGTTATTTATCTATTTGTTGATATTTAACTCTTATACATGAGGTCTGTGTGAATGTACAGCGAATTCCCGTGAAGGGTAATAAACATTTTTGTCTTGCCTTGTCTTAACCTGGGCAGATGTTAGATTCAAAACCACGATCGTGTTTTATCTGACACGTCTACTACGGACGCAATTCTTATCCAGTTTGATTTGGTTGTTTAAAGACGCACTCATCTATATGGTGGAGGTCTGTAAGTAATCGAGCCTGGACCAGACATTCCAGTGATCAACATCATGAGTATCGATCTACGCAGTTGGGATACCATGACAGGGGCGGATCCCACCCCACCTTCCGCCTACGCATGACATGTGTCAACCAAGTCAGCGAGCCTGACCACCCGATCCCGTTAGTCGCCTCTTACGACAAGGATGGGTGACTGAAGACCAATTCTAACCCGGATCTTCGCGGGTCTTATCCAGTTGATTTCCTTTCTGTTTACTAATAATATGTTGTGTAAATATACTTAACACCTACGTAACTGACGCTGTTTTCGTACCAACGCAGAGAGTGTGCAGAAATAGCAAAACCATCCTTAACCCACACCTCTTTCGACAGCATAACAATAATAAACTCACAGGTATACATTGTGCTGCACAGGAATAACATGGAATAGTCCTAAAATAACTGAACAGGTGATACATCGATGTCTTTTTGAGTCTCAGATCTTTCAACAAATATTTGTGAGATCCGTAATTCCGGATTGCGAATATATTATTACAGATCTAGAAATCTAGAAAAATAAATAACTTCAGCAACCCATGCTTATAGTAAGAGGCGACTAACGGGATCATGTGTCGACAGCCTCCGTTATTAAAAAGTAGTAGGACTGCACGGTATTACCGGTATATCGGAATACGCTTTTCAAACGATACGTATTACCACATTTTTTCTGAGTTCCGGTATATTGGGTAAAGAACATATACAAAGTTTTTGTGATTATCTTTATGGTTTAAATTAACTTCTACACATACTTTCATTCACAACAGATGTTTTCCTTCGTTTTTCAATGACAAAACTGCATACTGTAATACATGTACTATGAATTGTTATGAAAAACAGAAAATAGAATCCATGCAACCTAATTTTGAGATTGCTGTTATCAGAACCAGAACATATGTGTTTAGGTACTTATAATGCAACAAATTAAGAAAACATGCACAATTAGCGTCACTCACTGTTAAACACTTAAGGTCCCAATATATCGCAATACGTATCGCAATACGGGTACCTGAATCGCAATATATTGCAATACAATTTATTTGCCAATACACAGCCCTATTAAAGACTCCCGACATATAGCTGGAAGATTGCGGCGTTAACAAACAAACAAACAAACAAACACAGCCAAACAAACAAACAAACAAAGACAAACAATAAATATATAAATAAAGATTGCAAATAAATAAATAAATAAATAAATAAATAAATAAATAAATAAATAAATAAATAAATAAATAAATAAATAAATAAATAAATAAATGAGCTTTGTCCGTCACATATAAAGTAGGGTATTCCATACTTTACCCGTGCTTTTTTCAGAGTCATTAAAAGAGAATATAGAGTTGGTCTATCGTTTAAACGTCATGATTTATCGTTTGTGACGTCAAGAACAATGGAAGATGTCACTTTTAATTTGAGTATCACAATGTGTTCATGACGTCACGTCGCTTGTGGCTTCTTAGCAAACAATAAAACAATTTGAACGTACTCACCAATCAGAATAAAGCTAAATAGAATATACTGCTCAGTTAAAATATATACCGAAAATATTTCGCTTATATCCGTCTCTCAATAAATGACGTAACGCAATGTTATGTTATTTTTCAGTTCGTGCATTTATGGGTACAAATGCACTAATGTTTATTTTTAGAAATGTTTGTAATTGTCATTACCACATTTGTTCACATTTGCAGTACTGCAAAATACTCAAGCAGACGATTCATTATTTTTATTATTATATGTTGTACAGAATACAGTCCAGCGAAGTTGGCCACTTTCCCAGTGTGACGTCACTTTTGTAGCGCCCTGATTGCGTGTTATGAAATATATGTTGATGTTTTGACATGCCATGTAATACCGTTAGTTTGTTGGCAAAAAAATTGCATTGCATAAGAATGTCTGCTTGACTCTGAGCCGAATGATGTTTGGTCATCTCGGGAATAATTTTTCTAGTCGCCCTGTGGGTGCAGACGAAATTGTTATCCCGATTTAATTTGCTGATCAGCAATAACATGGCGGCGCAGGCTAAGGTAAGTTCGTGCAATGCATGACACTTCGGAGACTGAACAATAGTAATGTAAACAAACCACCAGCACACACTTATGTGTCACAAAACGGTAATGCAAATACTGTTACTTGCATTAAGTAAAGGAATTATGTAATCTGCTGTCAACGCTGTAAGGCCCAGACTTTTTTATCATTAGTTGAGACAGACAGGGTCGATTTTTGTCATCTGATCGAGGCGTAAAGTCGAACATCCAAAATAAACAAACCTGAAATGTGCATTTGCAGTGTCAGCAAGCAGTCTTCAAATACGACAAGAGCCAAAGACGTTGTCACTCCTGCAAATGTAAATTGCTCACTGAGTGGGTGAAATATTTTTTTTAGATTTACTTTAAATGGCAAATTAAAAATACAACACACCTAATATATGAGCTTTGTAGTTGTGCTTACATTGTGATATAACAGTGCAAACTGTTGAATGTTAAACAGAGTTCAAATTAAATATACCAGTTTGTCTGAGACATCCTCTTAGATGCTCAGTCCAAGATTATCGTGATTATGGACTACATGAAACAAATATCAGCTGTCATAGTGTATAATGAAGCCCAGGAACACGTACCACTTGTCATACCAGCTCTGTCCACAGGTCATTCTGGACTAGTGGATCTGAATATAACTTTATTTGAGGAGAAACTATTCATTCCTCTTGAATAACAGTATTAACACACTGGTGTCATTTGTAACTATGAAGTCTTGAATTACCATGTCCAGTAGAGCAAGTAAGTTTGTTTAGCAAGTATATGTTGTAATGCAATGTAGCCGGAATTCTATGAAACATGTTCATGTGGACAGTGTAATATATTGTGGTTATCATGATAATCAAAACATTTATCATGATCATAATCTGCACAGATTGATTCAAATTAACTGTGTGAATAAAGAATTTGATGTGATGATGATTTACATTTTCAAGATTTATGCTATAAAGGGTCATGTTTATATGTTGAATATATGGGTCAGTGTGTCTGAATGTTCTTTTGATAGATGATAATAGCTTGTACAATTCTCGACCATGAAACAAAGCGATCACATATTACTTCAAATGACCAATCAGTTTGGAAAACTGCAGAAGTGAAAACACCCATAGACAAATTTGATTATCATGATAATGATTGCATACTTGTCTTTTCAAAGCATTATGTGATTCTTATAGAGAGGCCTTAACAAGATCAATGGTTCTGAAAAACAGACTAACATTAGTTAAATGTCCTGGCTTTCACTCTTTATCAGTGGTACTCAATGTATAAGAAACAAAGAGCAGACCTTCAACTTGGTCAATAATGTTCCATTCCTCACATTGATACAGGGTAGGAAGCACATTTCTGGCATCTCCTGCTTTGGTTTTGCTATAATATTGTAAAATGTTGCAAAAAACAATATGTACTCACTCATATGGTGGTGTGTGTTCTTGTGTGTAGCACAGGTCGCAAATCAGGCCCTTGCATGCGAAACTGTGTTTGGCATCTTGACGTTGGAGAGTTTCTAGGACTTTCTAGGCCCTACAATGAAGCACCTCACCCTAGGCAAATGAGGTTGTTAAAAAATGCCTCTCTTCACCAGCAGTGAATGGGTACCCGGTGGTATAAGTCATGACTGTTAACCTTCTAGTGCCTTATGACAGCTTGGGTTAACCAGGGTAATGACGTGTTTTAGAATGCACAAGTGTGTGGATGCAGGTGCTTTGTAACTGTCCAGAGCTCCAGATAAGATTTAGCTCATGTGGGTACTGTACCCACTGTATTTTTTTTTGGGAGTGGGTATTATGAATGTTGAGTGGGTATTTCATTTTCCATTACCCACTGCTTTCAAATATGTGGGTATTTCAGTGATTTTACTCACCTAAGTATATGTCATTGAGTAAGTTTACTAAGCAGGTATGTACTGCATTATGTCATGCCTAAGCAAAACCAACTTAAATATAATGAACATGATTTCATAAAACATCGCTCATCCTGTACTGATAGTACAACACTTGTCCTATACTAACAGTACAACTTGATACCAATCAATGTCTTTTTCATTATGCAAGTGATTTTTATAAATATATTCCGTACGCATATATTTTAAACTTTTTGCGTATCTAACATTTTAAATGCATAATTGGTACGCAACAAATTTTTTTCAATGCGTAATTGGAAATTTTCAATGCGTATTTACCCAAATATGCAGCTTATCTGGGCCTCTGACTGTCCATTATTATATTATATCTCTCAATAAAATTGGTGACAGTTTCTCAAAAGTGTTATGTCTTTGACTACAGGAGAAACTCAGTGAAGGTCAACCAACTTAATTTTTAAGTTGATGTGAAGCCTTGAAAGGGCAATTCTCCTTTGCAATTTGGGTCAGATCATTCAGTTGAAATGGTTCTTTTCTGTATGAAAGAAAGAATCAGTGTGTTTTCATCATAATTGAACTACATGCCATGATCCGTCATTGTGGATTTTAGTCAGGGATTTACAGGACTCGAATTCCTGCATCCTATTCGCATGAAAATTGACAATGGACGCAACAAAATTCATTAGAGCATCCACAGGGACGCAGAAAAAGTCCAAATACTTTTTGTATAAATTCCAATCAAGTAACAATAAGTTATCACTGAGTTTGCAACTAGCTGGGTTATGGCATCATTTGCAATTTAATTACTGTAACAATGTGATGATCATGATACAATAACAGTATTAAATATAGCTGTGAGCAGCGATGAGGGCTCCTTGGCTTTATTTCAATCAAGCCATTTGTACTTGAGATGTAGATGTTGAAAGTAGTAAAGGCTACAGTTAATAGGGATCATATCAAATGCTTCAGTAGTGAACTTTGAATTCTTATGGCTGAGATGCGACTATGCTTGTCGTAAGAGGCGACTAACGGGATCGGGTGGTCAGTTTCGCTGACTTGGTTGACACATGTCATCGGTTCCCAATTGCGCAGATCGATGCTCATGCTGTTGATCACTAGATTGTCTGGTCCAGACTCGATTATTTACAGACCGCCGCCATATAGCTGGGATATTGCTGAGTGCAGCGTAAAACTAAACTCACTCACTCACTTATGGCCGAGGGTTAGATACAAAGGATTGTGTGGTATGGTTTGGATAATGGCAGTTAGGGCTTTGGAAACAGTTGTTGGCTTGATTAAGAAATAAGAATAATGGTTGCACGTTCACTTGCTAATTATTTATTTGTTTTACCTGAATTGATGACATTCCCACCAGTTCTGACAAGCTTATGGTGCTGGCTGAAAACGTTTTAACTGGAAGTACTGGACGTTCTGATAAATTAGATCAGTTTTTTTGCAAAGCTTGAATTGCATTCCTGGATCTGGATCTATGAATATCATTTGGTGTCTCGGGTAAAACAGGAATCTCAAGGCATAAAGATCCCGTTGATCAAATTGACAAGAAAACAGAAGATTTGGTAGCCTTAGCTGAAAAAGGTGCAAAGTTCGCTGTGATTCACAATATAGTACTTAAAGAGTAAGTCTATCTTAAACAAATAAACAAACGTTTCCAGTGATCTAATACAAAAACTACAATGGACTCAGTCGAATTAGATATAGAACGTTAGTTCACGTAAGATTCATTTACTGCATTCACTTTGGTGGTTCAACTGGTGTAAAATCAACGTAAAATACTCATACCAGTTCCAGCTGAAATTCATTACCGTAACAATACAGTCCAAATGATATTGGTTAATTGATTTCTTGAATTAAGACTAACAAAATTACTAACAACTACTTCTGTTTCTATGAAAAGATTGAGCTATTTCATCAGCAAAAGATACTTCAGGTGCTAGAAATTAAAATATCAAATCTAGTGAGAAATTTTGGTTCGAAGTATCCTTCCACAAAGTAATTTGAATGGCTAATAAAAGCATACTGAAATGTAAGTACTATTAGTGTTTCTAAACTTTTATATGTCAGTGAGATGTTGTTAAAGTCAAACCACAATTGATACCCAAAGTGGATTTGCTCTGTCGGCATTGGAAAGCCAGCGAGTGGGGGGGTGTTGGTAGATTTTACTGGCGCTTCCGTAAGCTTTCTCAATTAACGCTAGCAATTATGAAAAAGATATCTACCAAACGGTGAAACTTTTCACATACACCATAAAACAGAAAGTAATCAGCAAAATTTTGAGATATATACTGCTAACTTTTATTGTGCTCTTTACAAAACCGATTAAGATAGCAACTCAAGTGAAGAAAATATCATTTTACTTGTCCCTCCGTTGTCTTTGGCGCTATACTGACGCAATTGATAGGCCTATTCGGCACTATAGCCTTAAATGCATTTACAAAGTTAAGTTGAAATCAGACGGTTGGTTTCAGAGTTAGGGGGTGTTTGAAGCATATTTGAGGGCTGGAAATCGTCCAAAACGCAGCCAGAACACGTTTTCAACATGCGAGCGGATCTTCCAAATACAGCCGGGGTCGCGGGGGTCATGTACATTTTAAGAAGTTCTGGAGAAGAAATAGTTCCCTCTTTGACAGGCTGTAGCTTGGTTGTTCTTGGGTCTACAGACAAATCAATTAGTGTTCTGGAATCCCCAGGACATAGGCTATCAGACATACATAATGCAGACACATAGAACAGCTTCACAAATGTTTCCAGTGTTGTGGTTAGTGTTTATGTGGTTGTTTATGGTGTTTATTTTGGTGTGAGTGTAGATACCATTTCCATTTAAATATCAACAACAGCCAAGTTGAAATGTGACACGAAGCGCCCGTACTCTGTATTTGTGTAGCATGTACCAATATCCACAACGCTGTTTCTCTCACGCTGAGCTTGGTTGACACATGTCATCGGTTCCTAATTGCGCAGATCAATGTTCATGCTGATAATCACTGGATTGTCTGGTCCAGACTCGATTATTTACAAACCGCCGCCATACAGCTTGAACATTGCTGAGTACGGCATAAAACTAAACTCACTCACTCACTTACTCTCACGCTCACGCAAGTGAACTTGTGAC